TAGAAGGTATTCATCTTGTATAATTGAAACTTTGTACCCTTTGACTGTAACCACCACATTTCTCCCAACCCCTCACCCTGCCATCACCATTCTACTCCGCTTCTATGAGTTCAACTGTTTTAGATTCCACATATGAGACCATACAGTATTTGTCTTTCTGTGTTTGGTTTATTTCAGGTCCATTTATGTAGCCACAGATGACAGGATTTCCTCCTTTTTTAATGGTTGAATAATACTCCATTGTATCCATAATATTTTGACTATTGTGAATAATGCTGTAGTCAGTACAGGAGTGCAGATTTAAATTCTTTTGAATATATACTCGGAACTGGGATTGCTGGATCATATGGTAGTTCTAGTTTTAACTTTTTAGGAATCACCATACTGTTTTCCATAGTGGCTGTACCAATTTACTTCCCCAACAGTGTACCAGCGTTCCCTTTTGTCTGCATCCTCACCAACACTTGTCGTTTGTTTTTTGATAACAGCCATCCCCACAGGTATGAGGTGATATCTCATTGTGGTTTTGTTGCCTTTTCCTGATGTTTAGTGATACTAAGTATCTTTTCATACACCTGTCGGTCATTTGTAGGTCTTCTTTGGAACACTGTTCCGGTCCTCTGTTCCATTTGTTAAGTCAGGTTGGCTAGTTTGCTGTTGAGTTGTATGCATTCCTTATATATTTTGGATATTAACCACTTATCAGATATATCATTTGTGAGACAAGTTTTTTTATTACATACTTATGTCCAAGTACATGTCTATTCTATTTGCACTGTCCTTTTCTGTTATGCAGTGTAATCTCTTACCCAGGCAAAAGTATAAAGAACACTCAGATTACAAACCAAAAGCAGTAAACAAATACAAAATTACATTAAAGGAAAATGGTGTGAGAGTAGGGAGAAGATATACATTTTTATTCAATGCCTCTTAGGTGGCAAGCACTCTATCAGATACTTTATGTAGTATATCTCATTTAATCCTCATGATAAGCATGACAAGAGACAAATGAGGAAAATAAGGCTGTGAGAAGTGAGGGTCAGACTCCTGGTTGGCAAGTGATCTACAGCTGGAATTTAAACTCATATGCCAAATATCCCATTATTTACCTAGACACATAAATATCACTCCATGTCATCCTACGTAAGTACAGTCTGTCATAATTTTTGTATTTTTTACTTCATCTTGCAGACAAAGAGGTAGAATAAAATGTAGAAAAATGTGGTGTCATGGAGACCAATGAATACATAAATAAATGAATGAATGGGGTATATATATTATATACTTCCATTTCTAGATAGACTCTTTTAAAGAATTGGCACACCAGCTGCTTGCATTTGCTCTTTATTTATTGGCTCTGGTAAAACTGTAAAGCAAGAAAAATTTTTCCTCCCTAGTTTGCTGCTCTTCCATACCTCTTTCCTCTTAAATACTAAAATTTTTCTGTTGTTACTGTCAGTGCCCACCAAATATGCAAAAGAAAAATTAATGTGTTTCTATATACTAACAACAAATGATCTAAAAAATGAAATTTACTAATCTATCCCATTTACAATAGTATCACAAAGAATAGAGTACCTTGGAATAAACGGAACCAAAGAGATGCAAGTCTTGCTCTCTAAGAACTATAAAACATTCCTGATCTCCTTTTAACAAAACTTGACCTATCCTCTCAGGACTCTGTTAGGTCAAGGGAAGGCGAATGTGGTAAATAAACATTAACTGAGTTATAAATGGCTTACTGGTTTGTCTGCTCACATATTGAGCAGGAATACTTTAACCCAAAGGTATAGGTAGTAAGGTAATACGGACTGAACTGCCTACTGATGAAATATTTTTAAAGGAACATAAAAAAATTTGTAGACCACAACACATTATCAGATGGAAATACAAATATTCTTGGAAAACTTCTCTGAAATGTTAAAGTAATTCCATGAGAAGACATCATTTCAGATTTCCTAGTATTGCATACATAACATATTTTTCCGTGAGTATGGATAAATACGATTTGGGAGAAAGTACAGTAAGGAGGCAGTGGAACTTTTTTGGATTATTTACCATGTGCTTATGATTTGCATGCATTATTTCATTTGATCCTCTTTCAAACTCTTTCAGGTAGATGTTTGTCCCATTTTACAGATGAGGAAATTAAGGCTCAGGGTAGTAGCATTCAGGTTCCCTCACTGCAAACCTGGTTGTGAAGCTGGATCCATTTGCCCTGAAGCCAGTTCTTTTCCCTTTTTGGCCAGCCAGGGAATTGGTGGAGTACAGAGAAGGGTGAGTAGACCTGAAACCTGAGTGGGGCCTTGTGAATTATAAGCTGCTCTGCCCAGGAAGGTTTCCTGGGAGAGTGAGGTTGAAGAAACTGCTTAATATCCCTGAAACGGAAACGTTTCAGTTATTGCCAAATGTACAGTCAAAAATCAGGTTAAAGTAGTGGTGAAATTAATCTTATAGGTTGCTTAATTGCTCTCAGCTGCGTTTTGTTGTCTCCAAGATCACCTAAGAAGTCCTCCAGCGGTGGTCCTGGGGTCCTGAAGATGGCTTAACAAGCAGGGAGGTAGGGCCTCCACACGATTTTCCTGTGGTTCCCGGCGACATTCTGTCCTGATCATCACAGGAGTTAGTCTATTGTTTTTTGTTTGTTTTTTAAATTATAGAACAACTGCTTCAGCTTGCTAAAAGGCTGTCTCCTCTCTATGTAGTCACCATGCCCTGTAGGTTCTGGTTATATGAGGATAACCTGGCTGAGCGACTTGAAGATGTTCTTAAGTGTCCACAGATCCTTTTGTTTTTCCTTAATGTGCCCTTGCTGTCATTTATTCTGTCCTCCTGGAAACATCGGTACACTTGATCTTCTAAATGTTCAGCTCATGATATATTTACTATTAACTGAAGCCCAGGCTTATGTTTTAGTATGGCAATTAGTGGGAGACCTATTTTTTTAATTGAAGGTGATTAAATTCATTTGGGGTGAATAGTATGAAAGACATGAGCCCTAAAGGTGTTTGCAATTGGCATGGAATTCTGGCAGGTGCCAAGCTTAACTACATTATCATCTGGTATCTCTTGCTGTTGACTTATTAAAACTGGATCTAAAAAATGTAATACTCTTTTATCCCTATAGCAGATCTTTCCATTATGATAAAATTCCTGCTGGTAGTCTTCTGATGAGGAGCTTTTACCTGTGGCTGTGATCCCACAGTGTCCCTACAGTACAGAAAACTCAACCCATGGTGGCTACTCACAAAACCTCCAGGACACTGTCAGTCCCGGCAAAACCTTACCCGGCTTTGTTCCCTTCCCACTCAAAATGGCCAGTTACTGGATAATTGAGCCTTATCACAATGGGTGGTGAAAAGAAGTCCATGGCTGATGCAGGAAAGGGTAGAGCCCCTGGGCACGGTTTTGGAATACCCTAGTGTCCTCTGACCTTATCCTTTGTCGTAATGAAAAACTTCCTGGTTTTTAGTATTAGGGCTCTCCCTGGGGTCATTCTGACTTCCTTATTCTAAAATCAAAACAGATAATAGGCAGATAATGGAAGTTTTTCGGACTTTCTCCTTCCATTGTTTTAGCGAAGGAAGACACACCGATCCTCCATCACGCACTCAGTTCTATTTTGGCACCTGGTGACCGTCAGGAAAACCTGATAAACTTGAAAGTGTTGTTTCCCAATCACCTTCAGAGCTGGAGAGACGCTTTCCTGCTAACTTTATCCATGGGACTGAAGAAAGGGAGAGTGTGGTCACAAGCACAAACAGGAAAGCCTTACATCACGGAGTGGCGTGGGGAGGAGTCTCCTCGCTCGCTCGCTCGCCGCGCTCCCTTTGTGGCCCGAGTCGCGCGCACCGGCGAGGGCGGGGGCAGCGCGGCGCGTGTCTGTGCGCGGCGGCCGCACGGGGACCCGCACCCGGGCGAGGCGCCGCGGGGCTGAGCCCGGCAGACACCGCGTTGGCCTCCGAGCAGGGCGCACCATGCAGCGTTCGCGCACCGGAGAGAAAACTGAGAATGAAATTGCTTTGGCAAGCTAAAATGGTAACGAGACCTCTCTGCCTTCTCCCGAGGCTTCTTTGGTGGGGAATCTTCTCCCGCTTTCGCTGGGCGTGTTTTGGACTCCCTCGGAGTGATCCGATTCCATACTTGTGAGCTAAAGCTCTCTCCCTCCGCTTTGTATTCCTCTCTCTCTGCGTGTCTTCTCCCTTCCAACCATACCCACTTTTTCAGCAAATTGCCTGTGGTGTGTCTGGGGCAGATGCATGTCAGAAGGGGAGAACTTTGAAGGAAAAAGAACTGTTAGTCTAGGTGAACCACGGAGCGCTTCTGCGTCCCAGCGGCTCTTTAACACAAACCTCAGGTTTAGCTGGGGACATAGAAATCCAGGGGGTCGCTGCACAGAGTTTAGTAGAAGCTGCCTGATGATGTGTTGCTTTTTCTGCGCTTGCCAGATTATTTTACGGAAATAAAAACTTTCCACCCCCGCTAACTTTGTGGGCTCCAGAACAATGAGGAGAAAAAGACAAGCAACCACTTCCAAAGGAGTGAGGACTCTTGGCATTTTAAACAGTTGTTTGTGTCTGAGTTTAAAATCTGGTTTGTTCAACGACTGAGCCACTTTAAGAAGTACAAACTTTTTTTTTTTTTCCCAAAAGAATTATTTTTCCTTTCACTTAAGAGGGACAAGTTAATCAGGACTAAACTACAGTTTCTTTATGAAGAAAAAGAAAGACTTCAAACAAACTATTTATGTGAGCAAGTCTAGGAAAAATAAATGGAAAAGTCCAGGGATCCTGATACCACAGGAAGGGGCTACAAGCCAAGAAAATCTCAGCATTCCCTCTATCAAAATGTGTTGTGCATTGCTCGGATTGTAATATTTTGAACAGCTCATCTTGTGCCCCGAGTGCTGTTGTAAGCAGCAAAGCAGCTGGGATAGATTGTGGTTAGCAGAGAGGCAAAAAAAATACTCTTTTTCTTTCTCTTTATCCCATCCTTGGCAGAGCTCGATTCAGGACTGGGGTGAAGAGGTAGAGGAAGGAGCTGTTTACCATGTCACCCTCAAAAGAGTCCAGATTCAACAGGCTGCCAATAAAGGAGCAAGATGGCTGGGGGTGAGTAAAGCTGGCAAGATGCTGAACCTTGGAATTTCAGTGTCTGTTGTTCTGTGAATATCATTATTATTTAACAGAGGCAGGCTTCCCCCCCTCTCCCGCCCCCCTTTGGCCTTAGAAAATGCTAAAGAGCAAGTGTTTGCACTAGCTGAACAGGTCTCTTTTTGTATTTAATGTTTTCAAAAGCATCTTCTCTAGGTTTGTCAATAATTCAGAAACTCTTAGATTCATCTTGAGGTCTTTGGCAAATAGATTGGGGGTGGAGTGGCAGAAAATGACACAGAGAATACAGGCCCAGAGAGCGGCATTCTCTTAGACAAGAGCCATAAGCAACTTTTCCCAAAAGACACCCTGTCTCTCTCTGCCCTCTCCCTGTTGATGCTGTCAGTGTCCGCCTTGCTCCTGTAGCTCTCGGAGGTACCCAGAAGGCTCAGGAGACAGACTATTCCAAGTCGCTTCTTTTGAGGGGTGGCAGATTTCCTATTGTGATCTCTTTTCTATATCTTGGGAGGAGACAAATGGATGCTTATTGGCCACGACTTTCTGTGTAGAGTAGTGGGCCTTTGGAAAAATGCTGCTTCTGTAAACAAGACTCTTTTCCACTGAGATTCTAAAATATTGCGTCAGGTCATGCAAGTTTGTAGGTATCACCTAGTAGATCCTTCAACACATCCTACATAAAGCGAACGTGAGAAATGGAAAGCTTGGTGACAGGATCACTACTTGAGCAAGTGTCAAATGTGGAAGAATGAAGGGATTTTTGATCTGGAAAGAGAATTAATTCTCAGACCAAGCAGTGAGAGGCGACCCAAAAAGCCTTGAGAGGAAAAATAATGGTTGGCTGAATAGAGGGGATGGAGTGTGATTTCACCTGGCTGGCCTTATTCTGGCCGACGGGCTGGAGAGTGATGAAGATTTATGCACTTGCATCCCGTCTTTACTGGCTTTGAGTCTCCGAAAACTCAGAATATTTTGAGCAGCGTTCTGAGGTGGAGTGTGAAGAGGGAACGGGCACAAAATTGCATAGGACCTCGTGTTAAGAGTAGAGGTAATGTGTGACTTGTAACTCCCAGGAATTTAAGGCAGAACGGTGGCGGATGGCTGGCAGCAATCACTTCCTCTGCCATGGGTCTGCTGACACAGGCATTCATCGCCTCAGGCTTCCCCAGCTGCTTCAGTGTAGGCCTTTCCTGCTACTGTACTTTGGGCTGAGGTATCACCCATGAAGGCCATAAACTCTTAATGACATCTGCAGGTGTGGTCTGAAAAGACAGGAGCCTTCCAGTGAGAACTAGAGGTCTTCAGTTACCAAGTACCTACCTTCCTCAGAATATGATTTTAAAATTAGTTATGTACATCACCAGCAGACCTGGACAGGGAAAGCAGAACTAGACTTCTGACAAGTCACCACTTTGTTTTCGTGGTTGTGTGTATTTTATTTAAATGTGGCGTCCATGTGGTTTGGCCTCTAGCTATTTCGGAATGATTCACAACTTCTGAACCAGTTGTCTTCAAAAGGGCTATTACATTTTTTTGGTGTCAGGTTATTCTTCTCTTCCTAATGAGACTGTGTTGCTTGGGTGCCTATTTTAGTTTTTAGCCACATACAGCACTAGTGATGAGTAATTCATGGGAAATGGAGGGATTCATGCTATAGGCCCCACATCTACAAACTGTCATGTATTTCGATGCTCAGAGGTATTTGGTAATCCCCACTGACTGTTCTCTTCACTGGACTTCACTTCTTTTCTTCTCTCTCCCTTCTCCCAGTGTTCTCAAATTTATACAGAGTTTAGAGTTAGTTCACCCTGGATTCAATAGCAGATGTGAAATATTGAGGAGGATAATGTGGAAAGATTGGTTCCAGCTGATGGAGGAATCTGTTCCCCTCGCCCCCATTTCAATAAAGTGTGATTTACTGCTACCAGCCTGCTCCTTAACTGGAAGTTCCTAGGGGCTCTCCAGCTCTCATCAACATGTTTTCTTGTCTTAGGTGTCCTGTTGGGAAGTTCTGTTTTTGTCCTTGAAAATTCCAGACTTAATTAAATGTGACTCAACCCATTGAGCCATAGCAATTACAAAACCTTTCTCTTTAGAACCGAGTGGCTTCCCCATGTTTGTTTTCCTGTAGTCCGGTAACCCTTTCAAAATTCTTCAAAGTAACTAGTTTCAGAGTTACTAGAGAGTGAGGTCAGGTGAGGAAATTACTGCAGTATGACAACAACCTTCTGAGGAAGGGGTTGTTATGATATTCTCTCTCTCTCTCTCTAACATAAGGAAACTAATGCCCAGACAGGTTAAATTGCTTGCCAGGGTCACACAGCTATGGAGTGGTAAACACCAGATTCAAACCCAGATGGTTAGCTCCTTGTTGTGAAGAATTTCCTGGGACCTTAAGGCTGTTTCCATAGTAGTAGAAAAGAGCATTGGCTCAAAAGACTTGAGGGTGCTTTGGGTGTGCTTTTCCCTAGATGTTGCAAGACCTGAGAGAGGAGGCTTTCTTCATGTCTAGAATGATAACTTGAGCTGCAAATAGAGATATTTGTTGTGAAGCTATGTATCTCATTGATAAACTCATTTTGGAGGTTGAAAACAGGGCATGTTGAAGATACGAAGATACGTATGAGGTTCCGCAGCACATGAGGGTAGGCATAGCTTTGTTATGTGTCTGTAATGCTTATTCCAGATGCCTAAAAGATGGAACATAATTTTTGTATTTTCTAGTACTCCAATCTCAAAACATAATTAAGATTCAATTTTGGGGAGGACAGCAAAATAATCACAGCTCCTCAGATGTGAAGTATTATACAGTCCAAAACATGTAGGCCATTCGCTTCCATTTTGTCTGTTAAGTTTTGTGTTCAGTTGATCTTTTGAAGTAAAACTCTGTGTTTGGTTGGAAAACTACAACCTAGTATGTCCCAGGCCCAGTTTACTTATACACGCAGCTGCATCCTTGCCCACTGAGAGTGAAGTTCTGTTGGCAACCTTGAAAAACCAAATATTATTGAAATGCTGACCTATTTTCCCTTTACGATAACATCTTAGGCTGGGATAATTTTACCCACCTATAATTCTCAGAAAAAAATGACTTCACTCATGTCACAAAATTACAAAAATCTTAGAACTGGAATAGACATTAAAGAGCAATTCTGGGCCTGGCACAGAGGCTCATTTTTATAATCCCAGAACTTTGGGAGGCCAAGGCAGGCTAATTGCTTGAGGCCAGGAGTTTGAGACCAGCCTGGGCAACATAGCAAGACCCCATCTCTACTAAAAAATAAAAATAAAGTTAAAAAATGAGCTGAGTGTGGTGGCATGTACCTGTAGTCCCAGCTCCTTGGGAGTCTGAGGTAGGAGGATCGTGTGAGCCGGGGTGATCAAGGCTGCACCGCAGCACTCCAGCCTGGGTGACAGAGTGAGACTCCGTCTCTTGAGAAAAGAAGTAATTTCATCCAGGCATTCACTTATCTTGTGATTTTTGGAAGAGCAAAGGGTCGAAACTTGTTATTTGTCTTTGGTCCCAGTGTTGTGGTTATATATGGACAATGGATAATGTAGAAATGAGTTAAGAAAATATCAGTATCCTCTGGAAGCAGGAAGTGTACCATTTCAGGATGAGTACTCAAAGGGACAGAGTAAAAAAATTCAACTGTTAGGGAAGGGCTTTGGTGTCAAGAGTTCATGCTGCTGTGTTCAGAATATGACAGACTCAGGGTCCAAAAAATATGTCAAGCCTCAGATAAGTTCCAAGTGCAGATATTTGTTTTACAAGCAGGATTGTGAGTGCTAGGTCACCTCTGCAAAATCTGTGGGCAGTGGAATGGTCAGTGGTTAGTCACGTGGCTCGTCTCAGTCCTGTACTTCCGTGGTCACGCAGTCCTTGTGGTAGGGCACTGGGGCCTTTCTGCCCTGTGTCCAGTATTTGTCACACCGTTTCCCACATAGGCTCTTGATAAATGTTTGTGGGGCCAAGTTGAAATGCAAGCTAGCTGGGAGACTGGTCAAGACAGTGAAATAGAATGGAGAAAGTTGAAAATATGTAGGAATAAAAGAAATTAGAAACATCAGGTAATAGAGTGTGGCATTTGGGGAAATGGCGGCCAGTCATGGGTTATGCAGGGACAGAGGTAAGATAACCATTTGTCACATCGGGATTGAGAAGTTGTCTCTCACTTGGATGTTTGATTTGGGTTGACTGCCTGGCATTTCCATGTTGTTGCTATCCATGTTGCCTTCAAATGGTTTACAGTTTCTGGAGTTTTCAGCTAATTTCACTTCTGGGAACCTTGTCTAATCTCCCAGCTCTGAATGAGGCGTCTCTTCTCCGTGCTCCAGGGGCATTCTCTGCCTCCCAGTTGTGCATTTACCTCACTCTGTTGTCATTGTTATCTCCCGTTAGACTGTAAGCTTGCAACCATGGCCATCTAGTTGGCAGAAACTCAATACATGTTTGTTGAATGAATAGATCATGCCTCATCCTTCTTTGGGGGACTGATACTGTCTTTATAAGTGTGAATGCATGGTTGCTTCTCATTTAAAACAAAGTCTACATGAAGGTGTTCACTTGCAGAGAAGAAGAGAGGGGCATGGGAGCAAGAAAAATCAATTAGATAATGATTAAAGCTGTCTTACGCCCTTTATGGAACAAAGCAGGGCGCAAAAGTATCAATGATTCATTTTCACAAACATTCCCCAGTGCCTTTCAAAACTAAGAGGTCCAGTTGTACTTCTCTTGCTGCTGAATGTTGAAGGAAGAACGGCAATGCATGAGTTAAAAAGTGTTGGCTAGCATTACAATTCTGTGTGGCTGGAAAGTGCAGGAGTGGCATTTTAGAACTGTAAGAAGATAAGCCCTAGAGGAGCCTTTCCTTTAGAGTTGGTCATCCTTGTTTTCATCTAGGAAAACAGGCCCTTGGGTTGCATTCTATGTGTCTATTGGAATGTTTAATTTAGGCTTTAGAAAGTCCATTTCAAGATTTAGCAGCCATCTGTAAATG